AGGAGGAGGAGGAGGAGGAGGAGGAGGAGGAGGAGGAGGAGAAGAAGGAGAAGAAGAAGAAGAATACGAGGAGGAAGAGGAGGACGGATGAGAGAACGACACGAAGAGAGAAAGAGAGAGAGAGGAGAGACAGAGAAAGAGAGAGAGGGAAAAGGAGAGAGAGAGGGGAGGTGATGGTACGCTAAAGAGACGTACGTTCCCACACAAACCCCCCAAGATGCGTCCTGGCATGGTCGGGCCTCTGGACCCCCGATGCCCAGAAGCTGATAAAAACAGCTACAAAACTGCCTACCGGTGTTTTCTGCCTTTTGCTCCTGCATTACTCCCCCTTACTGCCGTCTCTCTTCGACACCTTCCTCCCGCTCCTCGGCCCTACGCGCTCTCCTACGTGTGTTCTCCGTTTAATCTAGCCTCAGGACCAAGGATGACGATACCGACGGGTTTTCGAGTAATTATTTCGCAATTGCGAAATAATCTTGAATACGACGATTTCTAGTCCGATTAATTCGTTCACGTTTGTTGCTTTCCACGCACGAAACTTCGTTTAATCGACATGTTATCGGAGAATACTTTTCTTGTCGATGTAGTAACCGAGATGTTTGTGTTGGTGCAAAAAAATATACTGATTTACGTAGAATTATCGACGGGTTTGCACATTTTTACTTCCGTTCAAAGACAGTCAATATCGATGTGACGCTAATGATAGCGCAACAAACGTCTAACAGACGTCATCGTGTAAAGAATTGCGTAACTGTTGTACATAAAAAGGTATACCTGAATCGAAACTGCTCTATATTATCACTGCAGATTTCACCGAACAAGTAAAGAACAAGTAAACGAAATAGTTCCGCTTTAATCGCAAAAACTCATGAAGCTGATATTTATCAAATAATAAACTAAATCTAAATGCCGGTCGGAATTTCGACTCGGGGAAGAGAGGATTTCTCTTTTCTTGATAAATTCATCAAATATCCTTTGACACATTAAATATTGTGATAGTCATTGATGACCAGTACTATGATATTATACTGAAAGAAAAAATATCTAAAAAAGAAAAAATATTTATTCGATGGGTAATAACATATTTGCTTAAATTTAAATATTATTTACTTAAATACAGTAAATAATTGCTTTCATAAGAAGCTAAGATTAAAAAAAATGTATATCTTTGTGTTTGAAATATATTTATATTAATATAAGCAAATATGTTATTAATATCCATCGCGAAATAGTATTTTTTATTTCTTAGATATTTTTTCTTTCAGTGCATCTTGAGTCATTAATTATGTGTGAAACATTGGTACGACCAACAGAGATTTAGTGAAACGAGGTAAAAGATACATGCGTCTCTAATTACACTCATTTGCCGCATCTTTGGTACTTGGATCATGAACTTTCACATTATCAACGAAAATCAACGACGCGGTAATTAACGTGTCAAAATCAGGAACATCCTGCATAATAAATTATTTGACATACTTGGGAATGTATGATGTATCGCTGCTCGCATCCCAGCGTCCTGTGTCCTGGCTTCCCAACGCAATGTCTTGGCTCCCGGCTGCTCCGTCGTGGCACTGACATTGGCACTGGCACTCGCGTAGGCACTGTTCGATCAGAGAAACGTGTGTTAATTAACGCGATATATCGACGAGAATCTGATTAAATATTCAGAGCCGACGGAATCGTAAATAACGCACAGGTACTCCGCGTCGCAGTACGTGTGTCGCCCGACGCTGCTCGAAACGTAATAACGCGAACATGAAAAGGTACGCGAGACAATACCAAAACAGTAAACACAAAGGGCGAACTCATATCCAGGCTAGCGTCAACCGTCGTCGTTCACCGATTAATGACGTGTAAGTAATGTCGGTAACCGAGAGATCATATCCTATCAAAACATCAACAACTATCAAAACACACGGCGAGTGCCATCCTAAGTTTACGAACGCCGTTTTTCCACGTCTGTTCCACGTCTGTGTGTGAAAGAGTTATTGTCACTGTACAATGAGGAAAAAATTATCTTAAAATCAACAAATATTTTTTTTATGGGTGCCATTAATATATTTAATTAAATTCTCTTTATTTAAATCAAATATTGCTTATCTGATTTAAGTAAATAATATTTAGTTTAAATAAAGAGAATTTAGATTTAAATAAATATGTCAATGACATCCACCAAAGAAATATTTGTTAATTTTAAGATAATTTTTCCCTTAGCGTACCGAATTCAAATTTACATCTGTATTGATGTATGTTATTGAAGCACATTGTATGTGACACAACTGCTATTTCTATTACTCTTACACAACTTCTTCCTTATTATTTCTTTTGAATCTTCAAATCTTATCGAAATTGTCAAGGACAATAGAAAATTATAATGAACACATTATGAAGAAAGAAAGTTTGTTCCTTTATCTGCCCATTAATCCTTTATCTACTCGTGTTAATTATTTAATTTTAATATTTGTTCCTCGCACATTTTATTCTATTTGGCATCGAGTAACTTATGTGATTAACACATTACTCTTTGAAATTAAGAAACAATCAAATGCAGGTGAAATATCTGAACAACTAAACATTAAGTAATTTTAAAACAAGTCTTTAAGCCTTCTTGAAACCACAACACGGAGAAAACTGCGGTGAGTAACCGTTTATAGCATCGAATGTAGGACAATAGCCTGTGTAATGTTATATCTCGAGATTCTCCATTGATTCTTCGAGTCAAGGAGAACCACAGAATTGATGTAGAACTAAAATCTCGAATTGGCTACCGGTTATTTCTGTATGAAAGTACCTCTAAGCATTATCACGTTTAAGAGGGTTAATTACAACATCAAGTTATACGCAATGAAAACGATAATCACCGTCAAAGCATGCTACGAGATATAAAAATAACGGAACTTTATTCCGTTACAGATATCGTCCGTGAAGGACACTTCTGACGCAAAAGAACATTTGATTTGCAATAGACGTAACGGCCACGAGAGAGTTGCAACACCATACTAAACTACAAAATGTTCGCGTCCTTACTCATTTCTTTTTTCCCTTCAGAATTTACCCCATGATGTTACCAATGCGCTCGTGTTGTCGAGATGGCGATTGCGACACATACACACATACACACAGACATATATGCACAGAGAAAGAGATTTACCGTGGGAATCGCGGCGATGGAGCCTATCGTCGGCGCGCAATTCCACCATGGTCGCGGATGCGATCGGCGCGATGGCGGCGTGAGTCACACGTGGCGGTTGCTACACTTTCTATGATTCAGTGTGAAAAGAGAGTCGAGAGTACTGCATGTATGTGCGCCATGCCGCGCGAACAAGCATTGCGAAACTATCGTCGATCGGCGGATTATTATTAGGAAGGTACGAGCGCGCGCGCTCGTTTACACGCGCGAGAGCGAGCAATCAGCCTGGAAAGCGACGCGTGAAATTACGACGATAAGTTCCGTTGCGGATCACGGTGATACGGGAACGCAACGGAAGTGACTAACGCGATTTTTAAAGTTCCCCCGTATGCCGTTTATGACGTCCATTGCCTGCCCCCTTCCTCTGCTAAACAACGGACATTTATTTCTCTCGACTATCGACGTGCTAGATCGAGCGGAGAAAGGTCTGAGGCTTACTTTGTTTACGTCGCAGAACAGCTCCGCGAGAATTGTTGGTGCTCGGAGTGACGATCGCGGAAAAATCGGACGCGGACCGGTCGCGGAATCTGCCGTTCGGACCTTATGGATTTCGTCACTTCCGGTACAGAAGATATGTATAAGAAGAAAACTCTTTGTAAGGCTGATCAGTCAGCTAAGAACTCCGCGCTGACGGTGGCAACATGATTATAAAGGATAAAATAATGAACTATTCATTACACAGTGCAGATTATTGCAATAAGTTAGAATGAAAAAAAGTATACTTATTGCACTTATTGTAACTTATTGCACTAATGCAAAGTTCATCGAAAATGAATAGACTTAATGATATAAATAGACGACCAATTTTTTTCTTGCAAACTATAGCGTTATTACCGAGCATGCATATCACATGTGATACAATTGTGGAAGTATGGAACTGTTCCGGATATTGTGCTTATTGTGATATTGAATGCGTATATTGAATGCGTAGTTAGTATAGTGATATTCGACATATTTTGCGGTTATGTAATAAGTTATTTCGGCAAAAGGGGAGTATCTAAAGCATTTCACAAGTATGTAGAGCAGATTGCAAGTATCATTTTAATGATATATTTTTTGTTTAACTGTGGTTTGCAGGAATTTTGGATATGGTTTTCCTTCTGACATCATTAATCTAATACAGCCGCGATGACTAATCAGAAGCCTTAAGTGGAAGAAACAATGCTTCATCGGAGATGTATACTCTGTCGCAAAGGTCTATATATGTTTTTCATCGAATGATGTTGCAGTCCGATATTGTCATAGCCGATTATTGCGCATATACATTAGCGTGCATATTAGCAGTGGCTCTTAACAACTTGAACAACTTGAAGCGTCGCGCCTTTATTCGATCAAAAATATGCAAACCGTTTTGCAACCGAGCATATATCTATGTTTCCGACGTGCGATTCTCCCGTCTTTATTGCACAGAAATAGAAATGAGACAAGAGATAGAGGAAAAGAGTCATGCAATGTGAAAGATTAATGTCGAATAATGCAAAATTGATAGCGCTATTGTAGTGCAATTTTTGTTTTAACGGAGAGATGGGGGGAGAGAGAGAGATAAATATTTGCAAACTTACGAGTAAAGATGCCGTCTGAAAGACTCATCTGTTACATAACGCTATCGATAATTGCAATTACAGTTTATCCTTCGTACTTATGCACAAACGCGATTACACGCGCCTAAAAAATACGAGATGATCGTCGCTGCCGCTTATATGCATCTATCGACATCGATCGTCTCGCAAAGAACATCACGGCGACGCTTCCAGTCTCCCTTCCAATACACTCGGAAAATCCCAAGACGATCGTATCTCCTTATTTTCCCTGCTTACACGATCTTCCGTGCCGCATGTAACGAACTATCGCAGGATCGTATCGCGGATCGAAGTATCACAGAGTTGTGTCGATTTAATAATCCAATCGATAAAATGAGCGGTGACAAAGTACTCGGTATTTTATATCTTTCAAGTCGCTGTTATTTTATTACGTAATTTCAGGTTCAATCTTTTTAGAGATAAACCGTAGTACATAATTGACCTCACATTTTATTTCGAGCCAATTAATTTTACATTTCGCGATAAATGCAAGTTTAAATTCATTAAAAGCCCATTTTGTCATGCTCTAAATTTAAATCGAAATTAAACTTCAAATCATTCGGCGTTAATTCGAGACAATCTTCGGCCGCCCGAAGTCGCAAGTGGAAGGTAAAAATTACAACCATTAATAAAAATAGCCATTAATCGCAATTACCCGGCGCGTTCGCGGAATTTGTTCGAGTACTCTTTCTTTTTCTTCAACTCGGTGAAAGTGCTGGATACGCTGGAGCTCCGTTAATTTATTTAAATTGCCGTGGTCTCTCTCTCCCTCCCTTCCTCCCTCCCTCTCTCTCTCTTTATCTCTCTCTTTCTGTTTCCCTCCCGTAAGTTTCTCGACGATTCGACTCGCCATTGTCGGTGAACCGACGTTATTTATTGGCGCGTAATTTCGTTTCACAGTTACCAATTTTTACCGCGTTGATGTTAAAATTGCAACGCGAAAGAGAGATTAAGACCGCGCTCTTCATTGTAACTGAAGGTCTGTAACGTAGAAATACAGTAGGCGAAATCTCTTTGAATTAGCAAACAAACTAATACAAGAGCTATACAGAGCTATAGAGCTATACATAGAATTTTATAATAAAAATTAATATAGGATTTTGTAACCGAGGAATAGATTGACATTCCGCAGTAATATAAATTATGTCTACTTGTACGTATGTCGAATACATTTTTAATGCATAACATGGCAGCCTTATTACATGTATTAAAGCGTGTCTACTTTTATACATCTCGTATATATTTATCATAATATATAGCATGTGCGTAATGTCTCGTAAATCAAATTATCCAATTATCTGTAATCAAAACTATATTTTTAAAATAATTGGACTTCCCCGAATTTCGAATATTATCATCAAACCTATAATTATCAACATTGTAACATCAGAATGAATTCATGCAAGTGGAAATCGCATTCTCAATTAAAAAATACAGATATATGTCGCAAAATTTTTCTTTATACTCTTTATTTTTATTAAAATATATATGTATTTTCAT